TTCTATATAAAGTGTATAAAACTTCCAGTTTAATTGAATTGACAAAATATAGACAAACTAATAATAGGGTTTATTGTTTTAATAATGCATCATTATATATAGCATTCAAACAACCACATCCTTATACACTTGAAGTATTATTTTTTTTGATTCTGTAGAAATTGTTTAGAATATACCTTACTTAGCAAAACAACGTTTGCCGGGTCATATATACATATACATACATATATATATATATATATATATATATATATTGAAATATGTGAGTATGGTGTTGATATATATTTTGATAAGTTATTTAGAATCGGGCAGTAACACCAAGTAAAGAAAAAAAACTAAAGTAGTCTACTTTAGTGGTTTGATATATGTGTGTGTGTGTGTAACTTGTAAAAATTAGAGAGATTAAATGGTTAATATGTAGACAGTCCAAATTATTCATAGAGAACACATAGAGAATTCATAGAGAACAAACTCAACTCAAAGAGAATCAAACCAATGTATACTTACGACCTAGAGCTGTGGGGATATGTACCTCTGAATCTAATTTAGCAATCATTCAGAGAACACAGACAAAAATATTAAGAACAATACTGAACTCTCCTTGGTGCGTCACTAATCAGACTACCTAAAACTATTTAAAATTGAAGACTGTTCACAAAACATTAAAAAAACGAACTTCAAAACATCGAAGCAAACCAGACTATAAAGTACATCCTATTACCCTCACAAAACATAAAAAAATAACCTTTTGATATGATAATGCCATACCATACCAATTCGTCAAATAAGGTAACATATATTGAAAGATAGATCAATGGGTCTTACCTTAGTTTAACACTATGTACTCGTATATCAGTTAAGTTTATACAAATTTTTATTATCCGATTGCTAAATAAAGTTATTACAAAAAAGTGTAATAAAAACAACACTGAAATCTAAAGTTAATAATTATTATCTGTATAACTGAGGAATCTTGATGATAATTTATATTTTTTTAATTTGAAGACTTTAATTTAAGAGCATCATCTTAATATGTACGAATTTCATCATAATATTCGGTCTAAATTTAGATTTTTCTAATTAAATATAGAAATTCCCAGCAAATTTGATAATTTACAATGGTCAGTTGTACAAAAGATATTAAATTAAAATATTGACCGGTTGGAAAAACAACTCAATTGATCAATAAATAAATTATAACAATATTATAATCGAATATATCTATATTCAATATTATTTTGCTGATTATTAAAATTAAGACGCAAAAATTCTCATCGCAGATCAATGTTGACTAATATCAAATGGCCATTTTTCTTTCTATAATAGTTTTCTGTTAGTAACATTTATAGATATTTTCCAAGTCTTTCAAATAAATTTGGAAATATTTCATCCATATTTAGTTATTTCAGTATCGACAAAAACAATTTAGATAGACAAGAGTACTTGCATTTAGTATGCATTAACATTTTTACAAGTCGATAATCTGTTGCATGATGTTATTAACAGACACGCTAACAAAAAAGCGATAAGGGTAATTATGAATGTCATTGAAATTCTGAAGGAAATGAATTATTATAAAAACTTAAAAGCTGAAGATAATACAAAAAACATAGAAAAGAAATTTTGGAACATGAGCGTGTTATATGTTGTATCGATGATGAAATTTCCAACTCCGTTATATTGTCGATGATGCTGATTCAGATCAGATTTAGTTCTAGACACATGTCTCGCATTCAATTTGTGATCATATTGCTCTCCAAGCAAACTGCTGTCTTATAAATTATGAATTGTGATCGTTGTGCAAATCGTTTGTTATACGCTTTCTCGTATGTCATTGCGGGATTTGTCCTCCGCCACGAATTACATGCGCGAATGAACCCACGAATCGCTTAATGTCGATTCGAAGGCAAATTTTATACGAGATGTTTATTACTGAACATTTAAGATGTATATCGAGTGGAAAAAATCACAAAAAAGGAATTGGATATTGAAGTATATAAAGCAAAGCCGATGCTATTTAATACAACTGCATGAAGTAAAATAAGTTTAATTTAACTTCAAATTTAAATTTTATACATTTACATGTATCTTTTAGAAATTTGTACAAAAGTTGGTAAAATAATTGAAGAAATTTAGCACAGAAAATTTACTGCAAACGAATTTGATTTTTCATGAGAATCACTGTACCCATAGTCGTATGAAAATCTTGTTTACCTGTTACAACAGTACATCTTTTTATTGACTCTTTGACTAACTCTTTATTGGAAACTTGTAGAAATTGTAAATATTATTCCATGAATAAAAAAAGAACAAAATATTAGAACATATAAAACAATAAAATAACCCTTTCCCCATAATCAATTTACTTAAACTCTGTGAAACTTTTCTCAAAATTACCTATCCTCAGTTGAAATATCATAAACGTTTATTTACCACAAATTTTAGCCTATTTACGTTAACTGTGGTTTAAATGTACAATCTCTTATATCATTAGTTCCACTAACTGTGATATTCACTCTTCCAGAAAATTTAGCCGAAATTAATTCAGATTATAGACGTATATCCACAGACCTTATCGCGTATTACAGTTATGAAAATATTTATGTATATTATATTACCTATGCATAATGAAAATACTGTTGGTTTAAGATAATTCGATAAATTGTATAATCAACCAGATGCAGAAAAAATCAGGAACATTAAGCATTTAAATTGTATGATACTAAGGTCAATATATTACTATAAAATAGAGAAATCTAAATGCAATTGTTCAAGGTAATGTATAACAAATAGTTTGAATGCATTTATAAAATAACTTCATTTTTATAGCAGCACGTTTTACAGAATACAATTATTTGTAGAATAGAATCATAAAATTTGCAGCATTATAATAACCGTATAATAAATCTATAAATCATTTTTGTAGAACAGATTTACGATTTTATGATCTTGTACTTAATTTGTTTCAATCAAAGCGTAAATAATTTTATCGATATAATAATAATGAAAAATAGATTTTATAAGTGCAGACAAAAACAACTTGACGGTTCCGTGTGAAATAATTATGGAATTTATTAGGTAAAGTATAAGTTTTGGCACGTGGCCATAATGGCAACATTATCGACCTGTATGAAAAAGGTAACATGGTAAACTGATATACGGCTCTTGTGGCCAATTGAAAAAAAGTCATGTTAAGAAAGAAAATACAGGTCTTTTAGCATTTATTCCAAGTCTCAACCAAAACCCAAACCGTTTGCAGAGATTTACTTCAATTATACAGTACCCAATGCTCTAAAACAGTGATTCCCAAAGTGATCCACATGAACCCCCAGGGGTCCATGGCAACTTTCAAGGAGTCCACGGCAGGGGAAACAAAATTTGGGGGTCCACGAAATAAAAATAGGGATCCACGGCATATTTAGAAATGATTTAAACTTAAATGTTAGTATTGAGCGCGGAGCCAGCCTCTTATCAACCTCGCATATCTCAGAAACTATTGAATGTTTCAACTTTAAATTTTTGTCAAATATTTAGTAAAGTGTATTAACAATGTATGTCAAGTTTCATCAAAATCGAATTATGCATTTTTGAAAACGTACAATCTGTTTCAATACTAGTATTGAGAGCGGAGCCAGCCACCAATCAACCTCGCATTTATATTGAATGTTCCATCTTTAAATTCCTGTCAAATATTGAGTAAAGTGTATTAACAATGTATCTCAAGTTTTATCAAAATCGAATTATGCATTTTTGAAAACGTACAATCTGTTTCAATACTAGTATTGAGAGCGGAGCCAGCCACTCATCGACCTCGCATATCTCAGAAACTATTGAATGATCCTACTTTAAATATTTGTCAAATATTTAGTAAAGTGTGGTAACAATGTATGTCAAGTTTCATCAAAATCGAATTATGCATTTTTGAAAACGTACAATCTGTTTCAATACTAGTATTGAGAGCGGAGCCAGCCACTCATCAACCTCGCATATCTCAAAAACTATTGAATGTTCCAACTTTAAATTTCTGTCAAATATTTAGTAAAGTGTAGTAACAATGTGTGTCAAGTTTCATCAGAATCCAATTATGCATTTTTGGTAACGGATAAACTGTTTCAATACTAGTATTGAGAGCGAAACCAGCCACCAATCAACCTCGCGTATCTCAAAAACTATTGAATGTTCCAACTTTAAATTTCTATCAAATATTTAGTAAAGTGTAATAACATTGTATGTCAAGTTATCAAAATCGAATTATGCATTTTTGAAAACGTGCAATCTGTTACAATACTAGTATTGAGAGCGGAGCCAACCACCCATCAACCTCGCATATCTCAAAAACTATTGAATGTTCCAACTTTAAGTTATTTCCAGTTCCAGTAAAGTGTATTAACAATGTATGTCGAGTTTCATCAGAATCGAATTATGCATTTTTAAAACGGATAATCTGTTTCAATACAGAAACTATTCAATTCAATCGTTGAATGAAACATCGCAAGGGGTCCACGGCACAAACAAGTTTGGGAACCTATGCTCTAAAATATACTCAATGAGATTTGGTACATGAGCTTTTGCTTCATTTAAAATAAAAAGAATGTAACTACATGTTTTCAGCAAAGCAGTTATTTAATGTTAAAAAGCATTTTTATTCTTGATAAAAAAAATAAAATGTTGTCCATGAAAACGAGATTAAAAAGTGATCCTTTACATATGCATCACATCGTAAATTTATACAACACCGGCTTGCATGCACTTTTCACATTGTTAAAACGGGTTAAGATTATAGCCGCATAAAGTTGAACGAAACATAGAGCGTTATAACTCATATGAAATGGCCGAAAGAAATTTATGAGCATCGGTAGCAGCCGGTTCACCAGGCAAAACATGATATGTATATACTAATTTGACCCCTCAAAATTATTTGAACTTACTTAAAGAACTCGAATTAAAAACACGGAACTTATTACAATTAATTGATGAATTTATTATGATTTATCACTTACCCATTTCGCCGGGTTTTCCATATCCCTCAGGAACTATCGGTGCAGGTTTCCATCTCCTCAGCTTTTTAGCAGGATAATGTCCTTCTACCGGGATATCGTTATCATCCTCTCCGCCATCGGCAAAATCTTCTTCCGCTTCCGAGAACAGTTCAGCCTTATTGGCGACGAGTGCCTTTGGATGATCAATCTGCAACAAAAAAAGGGAATCATCAATTATTGGCTGAAGATTAAAGTTGATAGACTATTAGTTCAACAAATATTATTATTCTAAACGTTTTAGCTTTAAAAACATTTTCTTTAACAAAAGAAACAATATACAAGGTACAACATATCAAGTACCTACGGTGACCATTTTTGATAGCATGTATTTTCATAAAAATGATATATCATTTCATTATATATGAAAACACGAGAATAGACACATTTAACCTAGTGAAATAAGTAACTCATTCGCAAAACTCGCTATTAATTGTATGAGCCATTGTAATGGATGAAAACGGAATTGCATGGCATTACGAAATAATTCATGCCACATTGCATTGTGAAAAAACTACTGTGAGTTCAATAGCATCGCTGTTTGTAACCTATTCGTAATAGAATAGTTTGCTAATTAGCAAATATTGAATCATTAAGCAATCTGTAACATGTAGTTGCAAAACGAACATAATAAATGCAATCGATGGCACTTTTCAAAACAAAGAGTAGATAGAAAATTATTGATTTATCTATACCTACATCAGAACTCAATATGCGAAATTTCTAAAGGAAAACGGAATTTATTTATTATATATGTATATTGTGAAAAAGATCTGTTTGCTCCAATCTTTAATAAGATGGCAATGTACATATTCAAAAAGATGATTATTTAATTTTCTATAACATAAATTGGAAACAAATTTAACGAAAGGTAATTACATTACAATCTATTCTTAAAATGTTCATTTGCAACTAAATAAATATTTCAAGAAGCAATAGCTAATGTAACTATTTATTATGTACGTTTTGACACCATATGTGTGTCATCATGCAGCAAGTTTAAACAAATTTAAACATATTATTTAATGAAAAAACCAAAATATGTAGTTAATGACATGATCTCTAAATTGCAAATCAAGATAAATAAAAGGCGTGAAATAAAATAAATTCAAAATAAGATTTATTACATTTGCTCGCAGGTATGTAGTGTTCAAGGTAGCTCTATTTCAATGCAAATTCAATTATAATCACATTAAATTTTTGATTACTTTACAAAAATATGATATAATTCAACACCACATGGCCGACATGGCAGATTATTATTACAGCAACGCAAAAATAAATAAACGCACTTTTAGTGTACTATCAAATATCATGCGTGAAAAAATGATTATCCGGAATTATTGAACTATTGTTAAATATTTTGATAATAATAATGAAAAATGTTTTATTAAGATGTAAACTTGAGCATAAGATTTTTTTTTAAATATTGTAACAGTGATCAGAACTTAGCGTCCAATAAGATGCTGAGCTGAAATTCTTCCTTACGTCGTGTTTTTAGATAGCAACCCAACGGTTGTTCTGCAAAATTTAATGCACCAAATTGGAATTTGGTGCAAGGGATATTTTCACTTGGAAACATATTTCAGATCTATATTTCCAAGTAATAAATATGAATTGCGGTGTTTTATCAAAGCTGTTCTGTTAGTATTGCGTTCATGCTCGTCTTCATTTACGCAATATTGAAGCTTTGAGAATTTCACGCTTTTGCAAATATTTGTTTAATATTGCCGATATGGTAAATATACGTATATCCTCTCTGTGCCTATCACATTGTAAAGACGATATTGTACGTGTCTGCTTTCTTACCGCAAATGCTGCGGTTTAAAGATTCCCATCTCCTGAAGATATATTACATACAAACGCCGGCATTGAGAGTACAAACAATAAGAAAATGCCAAACAGTCTCAACGCAAAGTGTTCAGCTAATAAACTCTGATATTGCGTCGTTATACCGGATTTTCTCTATTATTATTACCTAATACTAATAAGTACTTTGTGAGGAGTACAATGTAAGCTATAAGCAAAAAGATGTGAAGAGCTTTAAGAAAATATGATCAATATATCGAGTATCACGCTAAAATAAAATATTTACGGTTCAATATATCAGGGAGCTCAAAATTCTCTCTAATGTAGTATTAAATTAAATATAATGCATTTCCGATAAAAAGCATGTGTCAAAAATACGACAAGAATCTACTCATGTGCCAAACGTATATTACCTCCACAACATTAGCTTTTAGGCCAAAAACATTATCATAATCACCTCCGACCACAGCTCATTAAATTATCTTTTACCCTAAGCGAACGTGCCAAAGATAGCTTTATGCCGTTACAATGCATTCTACGGAGATGCTCTTTAATGAGATACTCTGCATCATCATGATGACGCTATTAGAGGAACAGCTGGTGAACGATTTATTTTTACCAAAAATGGAGAAAAAATAGTAATGGATTTAGGTTTGGAAACATAAATTTAACTATTAATTTTGAAAAAATTATTGCTCATTATTCGAAATAATATAAGAGACTAGTAAACCCGACGAACTCCGTTTCGCCACCAGATGGTTTCGTGAGGAAGATGAAGAAATTTTTTGTTTGTTTTATATTTGAAAAGGAAAAATTTGATTTTATTATACAACTGTAATGAATTTATTTCGATTACAAAAATGAAGCGTTTTTTAGTTGAACTTCTCTAAGTAAATGAAAGTGAATTCGCAAATTATCCGTTTCATTGAAGTGCTCTTTGGTAAACCACATTTTTTGTTTTTTGGACTGACGTTAACACAAACAAAGCGGATAATTTTCCAACTCTTGAACAGGCAACGTATAACTGCCCATGTGAAAAACAATGATTTTCTAAATAATCTATTTGAAATTTATCCCGCAAACACTAAGCGATTGGCCTTGCGACTTGTTATTGCGAACGCAAGGCGAACTGGAAATTGCAATCGTTTGAAGTCAAACGGAAGACCAGTCGGAATCATTGGTATGTTACCAAATCGCCAGCAATTTTTGATTGAATGGTGAAATTCAGTGCGTGTACATCATTATTCTTTGCGGAAAGAATTGCTCGTTGACTTAACCAAGCATAATTCTGATAATTCTCACTAATGTCATTACTCGAATTTTTAATTACGGTGCGTAAAATTCCAGCAGCTTGCATTAAGGCACGATGCACAACTAATTTTCTTAGCTATAAACCTTGCGGAGCCCGAGACCTTTCCAACGAATGCAAAATTGTCGAAATCGGTTTGTGCGTTCTGGAGTTATATCGTCAGGAAGGAAAACCCAACTTATTTTTATATATATGTAGAATGCAACTCTCTCAATATTCGTAAAATGTATTATTTTGATAACAATGTCCGTAAAAATAAAAATAATTTTACAATCCAACTAATTGCCATTAAACTCGATCTTGCATGGATTATTTTCTATAGTTTCTATAGTTACATTTATTTTACCAATATGAACAATTTATTTACCAGCTATCATTTTCAATCGGCTGGATGAGAAGGCACGGTACACGTTAACCGGCGAGAGTTATCGGTCTTGTGCAGTCTCTCGGCACAATAACCTTTAGCGGTCGCACCATCATAGGTCTATGGGATATATTGGATGAACAACGATGGAGAAACTATACTAAAAAACGATTAACTAAGCTGGCCAACCAACATATGATATACACCACATTGTAGAAAATGTAGCAAATTAGGTTAAGTATAAAGTATGTTGATCTTTTGTAAATTAAAAATCTTGTGGTGACCATTGGCCAGGACAGTCCAGGATTTTTACCTTGTGTCCCGAATTTTTCTGAAAGCAATATTTGTCACGAATTTAGATGTTTTGACCTGAATTGTCCCGGGTTTCCAAAAAGTATAGGTATAAATACCGCCCATCCCGGGTTACCAAAACTTGCCGTCCCTGTTTTAACTTTAAAAAATATGGTCACCTTAGTAGTAAAGATTTCGTTTATATTTCATTCGTACTGGAGGATTTTTATTAATGTATTAATCTGCTGTAGTTTATAGAATATAATGAATTAAATTAGTGTTTTTAAACATGGCTTAGAATATTGACCCTGGTTAAATGTGGACTGTTTCCAAAAGTTCGTTCCTACCTTGACCGTAACTACATCATGCAGCAGTGATATCAGATTTTTACATGAAATTACAGATCTGCATATGATTTAAGGTAAAAATGAACTTCAGGGGCATTACTCATTATATATTCACATAGATATTAAAAATATATCTAATGTAATTTCATCAAAAAGAGAATGGTCAATCACCAGATAGCCTAGAAATATTATATTAAGGAATGTAAATCAATCAAAAGCTTATAAAACTCAATTTATACCATTATAAGTGATATGTGAAATTTTTATTGACAATAAATTGCCGTGGTCATCTTATATTACTAGCTTTAATAAAAATAAAATAAAAATTCGCTCCAACTATTCTAAATTACTTTTCTGTATCGTGAAATTAAAACTATCAAACGTCTACCACATATTGAAAGCAATACTTGCACGTGTTATTTTAAAACATCACATAAACAGAAAGTGTATATTTATATAAAGTGTATTTTGAAACATAGTAATTTTAAATTAAGTTTAAATAACTGAGTAAAAAATTGAACTTCAAAATTAGGCATGAGAAAAATTAAAGCTGAGAATTAAAAATCCAATTATTTTAGTTTTCTTTTCCTAAGAACTTAAGAGTCCAAGCTCATGTGATTGAATTTTTTAACTTCGTGGCTTTTTAGAAGACAAGTTATTTTAGAGAGGATGGATATCTTTCTTATATATCCTCTTTATCTATATATTTTATTATTAGAATTTCTCTGATGCTGATGATTTTTAATTTAATTCAGCATTTTCTGGGAAAGGACTATTTTCAAACCTAGAACTATATGTTTAAAAAACCACAACTCTAACTACTATCCCACTGAGAAGTCCAACCTTTATATTTTAAACTAGATGACCCGACAGACATTGTTCTGTACTTATGTTTACAATTCAAAAGTTCCAATTTTCTTTATTATGTTATAAAATTATTATGATTTTTTACACTACAGTCTATACCGAAATGCTCATACATCCATCCCCCTGGAATTTGGCAAAAGAGTCTAAATTATTTTCCTTTTGAA